GTGCGGGTGCTGCCCCAGGGGCGACTGCTGCTCGGCGCGGGGGCTGAAGGTGAAGAAGTTGGAGGGCGGCTGGGGGAGAGGGGCCTTGTCGGCGCCCCAGCCGCCCGGGGTGGGGGAGTACGGACTGAAGGGGGAGTCCCAGACGGAGACGGGCTGGTTCTGGAAACCCGGGGTGGAGGGGGAGGGGGCCGAGGCCGGGCTGCCATAGTAGTCCGAGCCGCAGGAGGACAGGGTCTCGTCCAGCTGGCCCAGCGAGAAGGAGCCCGGGTAGCAGCCGAACACCTGGAAGTCATCCAGCTTGAAGGCGGACGGCTGGCCGGCGCCGGCGGGGGAGGGCGAGGAGGAGGAGGAGGCCGAGGCGATCTGGCACAGGTAGGCGTCGAACTCGCCGGCGTAGCCGTCCATGAAGGTGCTGAAACTGGGCAGGGAGGGAGCGGACAGCTGGTCCCGCTGGCCACTCAGGTCCATGGCCAACTTGGTGCTGAAGTCGGGGCTCAGGAACTCGGAGTTGTAGTTCTCGTAGGGCAGACTCCCATACTGGGTTTGAACACAGGGCATCTCTAGGGAAGAGGAGCAGAGAGCTGGGCTTAGTTCGGATGACCGCGGTGTTTTTACAAACAGAAACAATTCCTCCAAAATCGGCGAGCGAGGGCTTATCAGATCGCCACACCGGAGCACACGAAGCAGAAAGGAACACGAAGTGAGAAGTGAGGGCCGGGAGGTGTGAGCGCTATTGTGAATTATGACCCTCTGCAGAGAGCAGCTCGGGCTGCTGTAACAAAGGCGCAGTCTGTGCTGGCTGGGGCTGGAGGGCTCCCAGGCCAGCCTGCCATTCGGGATCCTCCGGGCCCGTTTCAGGGTCCTTTCTGAATCCGGCTTTTCACAATGTGGCTGAACACAGGGCGACTCTTCTCGGCAACAGTCCTGCTGTGTCAAACGCGAGACGCGGAAGGCGACTGCGGTCTGCAAGAGGGAGACGTCCGAGTTGAGGGAGGCGCGCTGTTCCTCCCCCCCCAGCTCCTCCCGAAGGAGTCGGCGTGCCCGCTGACCGAACTGCTTTTCCAGCTGGTGCTGGACTTCGAGACATGGGCCCAGGCCGCATCAGAACCGCAGGCCAGACCCTGGGCCTGGGGCACACGGCCCTGGAATTGCCCCTCGGCCATCAGGCTGAAGGCTTGATTCAGACGTGTGCCGAAATCCCAGCGTCCCGCTGCAGGGAACGCATTCCCAGAGCTCAGGGAGGAGACTCAGCTCTAGACCCTCCTCCCATATTAACCAAAGTCCTGAAATACTGTGTTGCAAATGAGCAGCGGGCGTCTTGCTTGAGCTGACAAGTTTCTTAGCAGGTTTCATTAACTAGATATCCTGCATCCATCTCCTGATGTCAGCTATGACCTCACTATTGATTTACAGCTGTAAAAAGGATTGAGGCTGCTTGTCCGGTCCACAGCTTCAGAAATGAAGTGTTGGTCCTGTACAGCTCTAAGTGAGCATGTAAGGGGTCACCAAATAACATGTCTTGAAAATGACGCCGTGCATGTATGCATTCTCTGTTTTGCATGGGTCTGATGTTCACACTGCCGGTGCCGGTACAACTGCACAACACGAGGAAGGTTACAAGTGAGAGGGGAGCACTGGGACCAGTTTCGGTGGGAAGTCTCACACTCAGCACTTTGGACAGGGTTGATGCCACATTTTGCAGCTCGGCTCCGTTTTAAAACATACCTGAAAAGAGGTCTTAAACAATAAAACTAGCCAAGCGGATGGTTTAGAAAGAGCCTATGGCTCTGGTGGCGCAGGTGCGATGGACACCGGAGGGCGGAGGGCATTCCCGGCACAGGCAGGGGGAGAGACCCCACCCCGAGCGCCCCTGTCAGACAGACCCTGCCCGGTGCATCGGAATAATGACCTGGGCTTCCCCACCCCCCCACTCAGCGGGATCCCCGGCTCTGGTTTTCAGTTTCGAGAAGACCCAGGTGGGGAGGGCTTGTTACCGACCTTTCTGCCCTGAAAAACCCTCCATTGGACACCCCCCGGCCTGGAGACTAACGAGGCCTGGAGGCGAGTCGGGTTTCGGCCCTGCCTGATTCCTGCCCTGCCTGATCCCTGCCCTGCCAATTCCTGCCCGGCCTGATCCCTGCCCGGCCTGATTCCTGCCCCTTCAAGCTTCTGCCACCCGGCTGCCGGAGACAAGCCTGCGGCTTCTCCACTTCCCAGGAACCAGGCGCAGAGTCGCCGTCGCTCTCGGAAAGGGTGGCAAACGTACCCGAGGGCGAGACCGAACGATTCCAGAGGAACGGTCGTCTTCCCTCCAGATCCCCGCTCGGCTTCCTCACAGTGCCAACAAGAAGCGAGTGTTTTGGGAGGTTGTTTTTTTTCCAGCTTGCGAGGAGGAACTTCAACCCTCTGGGGTTCGGTCGAGATCTAAGACGGTTACAAATCAAGGGGATTCCGCCAGATCGCGACACCTGAACAGGACTGCCAGGTTCCCCGCAGGGATCTCACTCTCATACCTGCGTCGCTCCAGCAGATGAAAACAAAATCTACCAGACCCGATAGCTCCTCTCAATGGAAAATGACTACTTTCCCCACTTTGCACTTTCCATGAACTCACCCCGCCTCTGAAACAAACTGTGGTCAAAACGAAACGCACTGAAATCAGAACCTCGACTTTGCTGCCTCAACACAGCCCCGTGTGAAACCCCAGAGGCAAGCGCTCTGCAGCCCGAGAGTGCCGAAGCAAGTTCCTCGAACCCGCGCTGGGCTGTTGTTTCAGTTCGCGCTGCCATCCTGCGTGAGGGCCTTTCGCCTGCTTGCCTTTGCGTTCGAAGCAACTTGGCCGCGCCGAAAGACTACTGGAGTCACAATACGAAAGGATCTGAAGCTGCTTCTCTTGGCTTCTGAGCCCACAGCGGAAAACGGGCCTTGCAGAAAACTGGGGGCACCACTGCACTGAGCACACAGGCCTCGACCAGATCATGAATACTCCTCCTCGTGTAGCTGTGTGCTGCTCTGCGAAAGGGGTGTTCTTTAAGAGATTCCCTCTTTAGCTCATAGTATTGAAGAGCCCACAACTGTGTTGTTTCTCTTCCGGTGTGTTAACGGTATATACACAAACACTTGCTCAAGTCCACTCCCCGGCAGTGACTTTATTCAAGTCAACGAGAGCGGGTTTTTTTTGCCTTATATCAAAGGCCTAATCATGAGCAAGTTCCACAATCAGGGCCTGAGGAATCAGCACTCATTTAGAATACCGTGTACAATTTTGATCTCCATGTTACCAAAATAAAAGATACTGAAGTTGTGGAATCATTCCAGAGAAGAGCAACCAGATATACCTCCAGGGCTGGAAGAAATGTCTAACGCTGACAGGCTGTAAGAACTGGACATTTCAGTCCCCGAACACAGAAAATGATGAAGCAAGTATTCAAACCCCTGAAAGGCCCTGAAAAGTCTACCTGGCAGACTTCTCCAGAATCAGCACTCTGCACAAAGAGTTGTGGGAGTATGGAACAAGCTATGGTACAGAGCCATGGTTCTCTGAAGGAATGCAGAGGGGGCAAAGACCCTCAGATCAATTAGATACAAGCAAGCAAACAAACTGGAAGAGCCAAGTGTCCCCCTCTGAAATGCAATCATTCTTTTTACTGGTCTAACACGAAAACTGGAACTCCTGTCCAAACATCTAGTGACGGTTCTGGAAGCCTGCAACCCCCAAGGGATTTTCTTTTGTCTCCATTTCAGCTTGGCCGCAGTTTCGGGACCGTTTTACATCAACTTCCAATCCCCCCCAAGAAACTCTTGCAAACACTCTTCTGTAGTAATACCACCGGTTAAGTGTATATATACATCCCCCCCAACTAGATTCCAATCACAAAACCATTAAGGTCAGTCACGTGGTGGATATGAGCTATACATGACTTAATTGATGCAGTTGTAGCTTTATCCAGTACCTATGTAGACTATCAAAGCAATTTCAATAATGATTCATGAAATTCTGCTGATCATGCTTGTTTGAAGAAACAGCGGATTTTTAAAATCACTTAAGACCCGCTGAGCCCCGACAAACAACCCTACCTGCCCTCTGCATTGTTTCTCAACAGGAATTATGTTTTAGTTAAAATATATAAATCGAGCATCCCTTCTCATGACCTCAGCCTGGTTATTCATTTCTCATTTCTACGCGATATCCTTCAGCCTCGGGTCGTCCCAGGACGACGCCCGGGCTGACACGACACGGCGCTCCGAAGGGGACGAACTGCCAATTCGGGACAGTCCGGCGGGGCAGCCCGGTGTGCCCCACGGCCACAGCTGAGAAAACGCGCAGGGCTCCCAGGTGTCCGTAGCACCGTAGGCGCTCTCTGCTCCGTGGGATTCATAATCACTAAAACAGATTCTCCGCGTTTTTAAATGCGCTGAAAAAAACAATCGCATCCGCGGAGCGTACAGAATTCCTCTTTGGATTTTCAATTTAAAGCCCGTGTGTTCAATGTTAGATTCCAATCCAGAGCTTTATAGCCATCAACCCCAATGTGTAGCTGCGCTGCGGACTAGAGACCATCAAGAACAAGCCAGGAAAAAAAGACAAGGTCCCTTGTAGAATTCAGAATGAAAGCCTGGGACAGATCGAGCCTCAACCCAACCTTTCGCCGGCGCTGGAAAGCGCCTTCCTACTGTCCTCGGGAGAGGTGGGCGTTCCCTGTGCGCTCGGCTTCGCTGTGAGCTCGCCTGAGACCCGCGACTTCGGCCGGAGAGCCGGGCAGCGATCTCCTCACGTCCGGATCTGTCCAGCTTCGAACAGGTGACGACGCGGGCACTAGACAGACGCACTCCTCAGCGTGTGTTAAAATATCGAGCCACAACGCAGCGGTCCGTGAACGACACGAATGTTGCCGGCATGCAGCCTTGTAAGAGCCGTTAGCTGTCGGCAAGATGCAGCCGCTTGTCAAGAGTCGAAGGAAACGAGCTGACCCACGACTTAACACCACGTTATGAGTCTTAGCACAAGTCAACAAGCGATGCCCTGTCCTGTACGACTGACAGTACGTCTTTTCCCAGTGCAACACGCCTATAGGTAACTTTCCTGCCCGCGGTCACTCAGACTGTACAGCTGCACTTCGCTACTCCGGTCAAAGTGGATTTTAAACGCCAACAACTACACTAAAGATCATCGTAATCACATCCTCACACTGCAAATAGAAGCAAGATGTTGTTGCCTACCTGCTTTATATACAGCTCCTGTTGCCGATAACGCAAACAATTTGTATTCCAAATGATACCCGTTTTAGTGCCTTTACCAGTATCACATGTTCCCGGTCGCTCAACTTCTCTTAGCTTTCTGCTGCTGCTAAGCCTTTTATGCCACCGAATTTTATTGCCCCGTGACATCACACAGCATAGGCGTCCTACGCGCCATATAAGGTAATGGGGCGGGAAAGCTTTCCGGCCGCGGGCCAATAGGACGGCCCAGCGCCGACGTCCTAGTAGCTGACGCACAAGGGATTCCATTGACGCAAACAGGCCGGGCGGATTGTCTGATCTAAAAATAGCCCCCGAGCGACAAGGCTACACGCGCTGGGGCTATTACTGCCTGGAATGGGCTAAATATAGGCGGACGATGACATAAATAGGAGCCAGGAAAGCAAAAAAAAAGGATAACTCTCAAACCAGAGGCGTTGCATTATGGATAAAGTGTTTATTATAGAAGCACGCGGTGTGACGAAGGGCCGAGAGCAGTGTTTCCGCGCCCCGGGACCAAGCCTGTCCCGGATCCAAGAGGGATTCCCGTTTCGGTTGTGACGGTTGTCTTGTTTGGGTTTGACAAGCTGCACGCAAAAGTAAAGTAAAGTGAAACCACCCGCCGATATCATGTGGTGTCTGCCCGCGACATTAAGGAAAAGGCTATCATCACATTAAATACAGTACTGTACATTCAGATACAGTACAGTGGCTTCTTAGGCTTTGCATCTTAACAAATGAACAAAAACGTAATTTCTCGTTACGACTCGTCCCTTCGCCTCCCATATGTTTTGTTTTTTTGCTGTTGTTGAGAAACGTGTAGATTTTTAACTGTCCCAAGAATAATTCGTTTGTACATTCTTCTGTACACTTCAAAGCACTTGAGGTATCGGAACTCTTTAATTTCAATCGACGTCTCTTGCTGTGCGGTGCTACCAAATATATATTTGTACCCCAGTGCGTGCCAGTCACAAAACTTGTAACTGAATGTAAAACAAATGGAAAGAAAAAAAGTGGCGATGATGACATTCCTGTATGAACCAATTTTCAGATATTCCCTTTATAGCACTCGTTTACAAAAAAAAAAAGTCTAGGCTGCGCTAGGCTCTGTGTAATTAACGACAGTCATTTTTCTTAAATAATGCATTCTTCCGTTATTAGAAAATAGTCAAACTAATACAAGATAAAACGCACAAAAGGGAGAACTACCTTCAATGTCATGGGTTTTACATTACACTCTGGCACCGTATTTGGCGAATGGAATACTCTGTGACGTCAGCCGCTGTTCACGTGACGCGTTCCTTTCACCTCGGCGGGGTGACCGAGAGGAGCTGCGCGCTCGTGAGAGAGAGAGAGACAGAGCGGCGGGCAGCGGTAAAATACACTATTTCTTAGTTTGAACATGTTTGGGCAAGGATTTGACCCATCCCTCTCTCGTTTCCTTTCTTATTTAAAAAAAGGTGTAGGAGGCAGGAGAAGCAGAGCTACAGTGACGCAGAGTTGGCAAAAAGCCCGGGTTTTCCTGCCCGAGCGAAATCACGTTCAGGACAGTTGCTGGGCTGCTGGTCATCAGCGTTAACCCCGACCGACATCGTGACCCTAGAGGTCACCACGCGTTTCCACTTTAGTCCACCAGTATAAGATAAGATCATTGTATGAGCCATATACAATTTCTTGTATAAGGAATGTGTCTTTTCACAGACCCCAGCTTGCTCTCCAGAAGACACACAGACAGGGAGAGAAGCTTGGGGTCAGAGCACAGGGTCAGCCATTTATATGGTGCCCCCGGAGCAGTTGGGGTTAAGGGCCTTGCTCTGGGACCCAAGGGAGTAGGATTTCTCTGCCAGCTGCGGGATACGAACCGGCAAACCTTCCAGCCACAGGGCGCAGATCCTGAGCCACAGAGCCACCGCCCCGCCCTCAGTATAGTAGTGGGATTCTGCGCACACAGTGATGGCTGGATGTATGTCTGGTACCGTGCTGCATGTCCCTCAATCTGAAGATGTGCACTCGGGCAAGCATGTCGTTCAAGGTTTTATAACTATTTTCAAGAGACACCTAAACAACTCTATAAGCGGCCAGCAAATTGACATAGTGGTTTTCGCTGTAGCCTCACTGCTAATTGTCCTGGGTTTGATTCTCATGTAGGGCACATTCTGTGTGGAGTTTGCATGCTCATTTTTGACATGCTGTTTATGTTAACTGGTGTCTCTAAATGGCATAATTGTGTGCTCTGTACGCGCACTCTGCACCAGACAGCCGTCTCACCCTGCTTGTGCCCCGTGTGCTTACAGGACAGGCTCTGGGCTGCAGCAGAGCAAGAATAAGTGGCAATTAAATTATCTTATTACAACCAATAATAAATGACTTTTTAATAATGAGTGGACTGATCCTGAGGGGAACATGAAGGAGACCGATTTCAGGATTCACGGTTGTAACACTGTCAAGGCCTACCGCATTAAAATGGGCCTCAATGTACGAGTGAGTCAGGCACCATGTCTCACTCAAGCCTCAGCTACCAAACACCTGCAATGTTTTTGCCTGCTCCATTTTATGCTGGGTGTTGTGTTACACACAGTGTATTGCTGAGGCCAAGGCTGCATGTTTTAGCATAGCAGGATGCTGTGCTGTGCCAGAACACTGGAAAATAAACCCGCAGGAAATAAACCGTGGTTTATGTAGTACTCAGTGAAAGCTGCCGTTCACCACGTGCTGTGTTGTGTCTATATGTTGGATTGCTTGAGTTCTGACAAGCAACACTATATATATATACGCAGCGGGAAAAAATTGAAATAGTCTTCACAGGCTTTGAGAGAAACGCTGTTGGACAGTATGTCCCTGTGCTCTTCAAGTGCGGTTTCAATAAAGATCTGTCATATAAATTAATCAAAGGTGTCAGAGTTCCTGGGGGGCCGTGACACTTTGTTTCAGCGTCATAAAAATGAGAATCTTTCGACGCCGCTTACTTTTGCTACCTAGTTTGTTGCCATGTGGATCGTCTTGCAGGAAATGGACAGAAACCCGCTGCGTGCCGAAACCAACACACGGCCCAGCGGGATGCACACACAGAGAGCCTTTCTTTCCCTGCCTCAGAGGGGTTTTTGTCCCACTGTCAGAGCCTGGGACAGCTCTGCGTAAGCGTCCTCAAAGGACGGGGTGAAATGACTGAGCCGTGCCGCATTCCAGCCATCCTCACCACCTCGGACTGACTCTTTCTGCCTCACTGCTTTGAGAAACAAAGAGCTGTTGAGTCACTTTGGCAGAACGTCTTCTATTTAGTGTTGAGCGGCGGGAACAGACGCCATCCGAGCTGTGGAGCAGAGCTTCCATACCTAAGAGGAACAGGCGAGGCCCCCAGCCAAATCATCCCCAGAAGAAAATGGTCCCACCTGACTCGTATGATTCATATCATAGTGTTTGGAAAATGCTAAGTTGACTGTGATAATAAACGTGCAAACCCCCCCCCCTCCCCCCAAAAAAAGAGGTGGAAAAACCAGGTTCGGGGTTGTCTGGAAAACTGGATTGACAACGGAAACCGCAGAATCATGTGGAAAAAGGTGACACGACAAACCACAACTCTATCCTTGCTTTCCTTGTACACAGCTGCAATCATCAGAACAACTGCAAACATTTGTCTTTAAGGTGGTGTGCTAGACATGGCTGACTGCTTTGCATTTTTAGAAGAATGAACTGAGCAGCAGATGGCGAAATTTGAACCGACAGTAGATAGCAGAATATGAAGGAGGCAACAAACTAGAGACTCTTCTACCTGCTTGGTCTCCCCTGCCCCGTTCACTGCCTGGTATGGAATGCCCCGTTTACCAGCGACAGCGCAGCGAAGCGAATGTGAGACTCATCCACGAAATGCGCTTCACAGGTGCAGAAGACTTTGTCGGACCAGTGGATGGTGCTCCACTGTCTGGATGAGAACTTCCAAACCAATGTCAGCTACAGTGACCAGGACGCAGCAGGTCCAGCAGGAGCTGCGGTCTTCAGGACGGGATGCTAAACCAAAGTCCTGTTGACACAGTCATTCAAGAGTTCAGGGCGCTGTCTGTCAGGCGATCTGTAAGCCGGTGGCAGAAATGTGCAGGTGCGCAGGGTGACTGCGTTGCAAAATCCAGCAGTCTTCCTCATCTGCGAAGTGTACTAGGTGGATAGTTTAAGAAGAAAGCCTCTTCACTTGTTCGTGTTGCCCTTGTGTAACAAGTACTTCTTGAGCTGGCAGTAGGTCAGGGTTCCCATCACACACAATGTCTGTTGTACCCAGCTACTGCCCGTAAACTACCCCCGTGCAAGGTGCCTGGGCGACGTCCTGCCCCACTGTGTTCTGAATCAGACCCACAGATCACCACGTGCAGCGTGGTCCCGAGGTGAAAAGCAATATGACATGGAGAGAGAGAAAAAGGAACCTTTTGTTGAAACGTTTTTCCGTTTGTGGTCAGAAACGTCAGAACTGTTTAAGGCCTCTTTTCGACCTCCTTACTGTGCTGGAATGTTTCACTTTATTGCAACTCTGGTGGGATCTCAGTTCTACCTCAGTAAGTTTATTTTGCTGAACCAAGATCTGCCTTTTCCACGGCCTGAAGCAGATCTGAATTTAGGGAGGGCAAAGGGCTTTCAAGGACTGACACAAGACAAGGGGGGTCACAGAGCAGCAGGCTCAGACGCCTCACAAAGCCCCTTATTATTCTTCTGTGAGTGCCGAGAGGCTTCTTCTGAGGATCTACACAGAGAGAACCCCTCTTCATCCTGAGCTTTGTGCTGCAACCCCATAGCCAATTAACTGCAGTGAAGGAAAAAAATAGACATTGTCTGTACAGGTCACGTCCACTCACGTCTGATGTTACCATATCGGTGCAGGAAAATAACCACCGGTTTCCTTACTGGCTTCCAGTAAAACACTTTCTGGAGGTGCACTGGTGAAGCATCTGGAGATCCTTGCGATGTGGCTCCTCGTTTGCCGGGCCGACTCACTAACCAACCCAGAAACAAAAAAACCCATAAAAATATGTCTATATGCGTTGGTCCATATTTTCACATCTGCCACGCAAAGGAAACCCAACATCAAAACAAAGAAAGCAGGCAGCACGCCCGCTAGTTAGGCTGA